CAGAGTGGAGACTTGGCCTGTCTGAGTCCAGGCCTGGTGTCAGCTGGAAGCAAGATGTGATCACAAACATCACAAACATGCTGCATCAATTCCTAGGCATGTGGTTTTCCCCTGCAATTTTTTTTTTAATGTGAACAAAATCAGCCTTCTTTATTTATTTTTAACTTTTCATCACAGACATTTTCAATCATACACTCAAAGAAAATAACTTAATAAATTCCCATTACCCATCATTTCAATAATGATAACCTAAGGCCAATAATTTTGTTTCATCTATAATCACCACTCAACCCCACCTCCACCCCTAGAATTTTATTTTATTTTAATTTTATTTTCCAGAACTCCCCTGACCAGAGATTGAACTTGTGCCACCAGAAGTAGAAGCATGAAGTCTTAACCACTGGGCAAGTCTCACCCCTCAGTGTTTTTTTTTTTTTTTAAAGCAAATAGGTTTCCCTAAAAAATGGGACTTTAAACTTAGTGATTACACACATCGCATGCGTGTTTCTCTTTCATCACCTCACCAAAACACTGGATATGGTATGGCACCACTTTATGCCAGTTTGAAGTAGCACAGCAAAAGTATCAACAAAGTCTCATTTTAGATGTTGATTACAAATTATTTCTTTTTAGTACCAAGAATTGTGTAGTTATTAAAAATTAAACAATTTCAGAGTTGGTAGGCTAGTAAGTCTGTTGCATTTTTGTCACCACAGCTGCTTAACAGAAATGCCTACCTACCTTCAAGATCATTCCACTTGTATGGTTTGGAATGGAATAATTTTGGTGACTATTTTTCAGATTAACACTTGCCATTTTTTTAACGTAAAACTGTTTTTAATAGCTCAAACAATGCCATGAAGTGCCGACATTTATGTTTAAAACTCTCTTCCGGGGACTTCCCTGGGGATCCAGTAGTTAAGACTTTGCCTTCCAGGGCAGGAGTGTGAATTCAATCCCAAATTGAGGAGCTAAGATTCCAGATGACTTGTGGCCAAAAAACCAAAACATAAAACAGAAACAATATTGTAACAAATTCAATAAAGACTTAAAAAGTGGTCCACATCAAAACAAACAAAAAAATACAACTCACAGCCATATCAATAGTTCTGGAGTAGAAGTTAATGTGATAAATTGCTCTGAAGAAGGCCAGGCCCCACAACATCTGACAATGTTTAGGACACTTCTGAATTCGGATGCATCTTGGAATCAATGATACAGCACAGTTTAAATGGCAACTTAAAAATTCCTGTCACCCTGCTTATTTAACTTATATGCAGAGTACATCATGAGAAACGCTGGGCTGGATGAGGCACAAGCTGGAAACAAGATTGCCGGGAGAAATATCAATAACTTCAGATATGCAGATGACTCCACCCTTAAGGCAGAAAGCAAAGAAGAATTAAAGAGCCTCTTGATGAAAGTGAAAGAGGAGAGTGAAAAAGTTGGCTTAAAGCTCAACATTCAGAAAACTAAAACCATAGCATCCGGTCCCATCACTTCATGGCAAATAGATGGGGAAACAGTGGCTGACTTTATTTTTCTGGGCTCCAAAATCACTGCAGATGGTGATTGCAGCCATGAAGTTAAAAGACGCTTACTCCTTGGATGGAAAGTTATGACCAACCTAGACAGCATATTAAAAAGCAAAGACAATACTTTGCCAACAAAGGTCTGTCTAGTCAAGGCTATGGTTTTTCAGTAGTCATGTATGGATGTGAGAGTTGGACTATAAAGAGGGCTGAGCACAGAAGAATTGATACTTTTGAACTGTGGTGTTGGAGAAGACTCTTGAGAGTCCCTTGGGCTGCAAGGAGATCCAGCCAGTCCATCCTAATGGGAAATCAGTCCTGGGTGTTCATTGGAAGGACTGATGTTAAAGCTGAAACTCCAGTATTTCGGCCAGCTGATGCGAAGAGCTGACTCATTTGAAAAGACCTTGATGTTGAGAAAGATTGAAGGCAGGAGGAGAAGGGGACGACAGAGGATGAGATGGTTAAATGGCATCACTGACTCAATGGACATGAGTTTGGGTAAACTCTGGGAGTTAGTGATGGACAGGTAGGCATGCTGCGGTTCATGGAGTCGCAAAGAGTCGGACACGACTGAGAGACTGAACTGATGTCAAATAAGGGGGCACTTCACTTGAAGGAGTTGTAGATTTGTTGGAATACAGTCACTAAGACAGGGGTAGAAAGTGAGAAGGGATAGGAGGAGAGCTGGGGGGGTGGGGTGGTCAGGGAAGGCTCTGCCACCCTTGGTCCCTTAGCTGAAGCTCTAGATTCCAAAAGACTCAGGAATATGAGTGTTTATTTGTTTTCTTCTTCCAAATTTGGCACCAAAACCTAACCTGAACTAATGCAAAGTAATTTTTAAATATAATCTGTAATGATAACTTCATTCTAGTCACTGTGAAGATCAATCTGTTTAGTTGCAGAAATATTAATGTTTGTTGATGGAGCATTGTCCCAGTCCCTCAAGGGGAGGGACAACAAGAGATGTTACCTACTTTATTATTATTATTTTTTGGCCATTTTTGAAGCTTGTGGGATTTTAGTTTCCCAACCAGGGAGAGAACCTGGGCCCTCGGCTGTGAAATCACAGAGTCCCAACTACTGGACTGCCAGAGAATTCCCTGCACTGCCTTTTTATTTTATTTTTTAAAAAAACATGTTTTATAATTTTTCTTTCTGTCATTTCGGTGGCTTCTCTCGTTACAGAGCACAGGCTATAGGTGTGCGGGCTTCAGTAGTTGCAGCTCGAGGGCTCTAGAGCAAGGGCTCGGTAGTTGTGGTGCGTGAGCTTAGTTGCCCTGTCCCACCGTGGAATTGTCCTGGACCAGGAATCCACCCCATGTTCCCTGTTTTGGCAGCTAGATTCTTAACCACTGGACCATGAGTGAAATCCCTGATGGCTGGATATAATTTAGATATGTGGAGACACGGAGGGATTTTAAGAAGAGGAAAAAGCATCATCTCACATGGCGACAGAGGATGAGATGGCTGGATGGCATCATTGACTCAATGGACATGAGTTTGAACAAACTCTGGGAGATGGTGAAGGACAGGGCAGCCTGGCCTGCTGCAGTCCATGGGGTCACAGTCAGACTCGACTTAGCTGCTGAACAACAATAACACATCAGCTTGGGTTTAAGTGTAAGTCAGTATCCAACCATTACATTTGCATTAGAGGCAGAGATGACCTGCATTTCTTTCTTTCTTTTTTGTAAATATTTATACACTCTGTGTACTTTCTTTCTTTAAAAGTTATTAATTTATTATTTATTTGGCTGCATCTGGTCTTAATTCAGCATTCAGGGTCTTTTAGCCATGGCATGTGAACTCTTAGTTGTGGCATGTGGGATATAGTTCCCTTACCAGGGATTGAACCTGGGCCTCCTGCATTGGTAGCAGGGAGTCTTAGCCACTGAACCACCAGGCAAGTCCTTAAGTGGCATTTCTGATAACTCCTCTCTCTTAATTTGTGTTTCATATGTAGCTGGAGGGTTGGACTTCCTCTGTTTTGCTTTTTCCCTACAGTATTAATCCCCTCCTTTTCCCATAAATCACCTGACTTCCCCGAAAACTCTGTAACACACCCTTTGGCTAAAAAAGAGTGTTAGGCAATCAGTGAAATTCCCCAATCCCTCTTTTCCCGCCTGCAGCCTGGGACAGAGGAGTATCAGGCTGGAAAAAGGATGCAGTTCTTGTTTCAAAAGCAGAGGGAGCTCCAAGATCAAAGCTGAGTTCCACTTTCCCTAAGCCATGGTCTCCCAGCCCCCTCTTTGTTTGGATCAGGGAATTTCAGACAAGCACCCTCGGGTAGAGGATCACAGGGACAGAACCAGAGAACCAGATCCAGGGAGGCCGGCGGAGGTTCCTGCAGAGGGAGCGCCCAGCTCTGAGCCGCTCTTCCTGGGAGCGGGCAGGGTCGCCCGGCCTGCCCACTGGCAAGAGGGACGGGACTGACCCACTTGTTCCCATCAGCTTCTGAAGGTAAAATCCTTAAACTTGAAGAGCAGAGCTTTGATGGAGGGTAAAAGGAAGGCAGAAAACTTTACATAGGGAAGTTTCGGGCAGACATGGAGGGCTGAGAAGAGCAGAATCCAAAGGAGGGAGAATATAGAACACCTATTTCTCTTAGGTTGATCCCATTCACCCCCATGTCACCCACCCCCACCCAAAACAGTGTTCAAGGTTAGAAGCATATTTGGCAACACTTTACTCAGAACTGCAAGGAGGTGGCTTATCTTTTTAGTAAAGGTAAAAAAGAAAAGGAAAAAAAGATCTGGAAAATTAAGGTAGGAAATTGAAGAAGTAGCTTTTGTTTCCTTTTCTGTTCATTCAGCTGCCCCTTTTCTTCTCCCCCACACACAACTCTGTCTGAGACCACTTCCCCGTAGGTCACTGCCTTCCCCTAGGGAAACAAATCCATGCCTCCATCAGTGGTCTTTGGGAGCAGTAAGAGAAATACATGCAATAATACACAGGCAAGAGAGTTGGTCTGAAGTGATAAGGGGGCTCCTTGTCAAAAGAGGAGGGAGATCTGTCCTGGTGGATTGGTCATGATGGGGACAAACTCCTGAAACCCCAAGTGGAAACAGGGATACTGTCCTGTGAGAGGAAAAGAGAGGCTGACAGAGCAGGGGCAGGGTGGAGGTTGGGGGTGAAGAAGAAGAACAGAGGAGGCAAGAACTTGAAAAAAGTCTCGTGATTTTGGAGGAAAACTGGGAGAAGGTCCTGAGAAGCCATGGTAGAAGGATAAGGTTTAGTTTCAGTCTAGAACAAGAGCCAGTGTGAGAGGATTGGTGTCATACATTTTTGCTTCATGATACAGCTCTGTTTAACCTCTGTGTTATTCTTACCAAGATGACACTGACCCCTTATCACCAAAGCAGGTGCCTGTGTTTGTTAGACAAATACTGCCAGGCCTGCCACCCCTTTAGCTCCAAAGTCAGAGGTGCAGAGAGCCAGGACCAAGAGATGAGCTGCTCACCAGGGATGAACAAATTGCCAGAGATGTGGTGAGTGATCCCAGGTCTAGAGAGATGTACATGGAATGCATTCCCTTCATCCTCTCAAGAAAACAGCTCCGATCCTAAGCCTGGGTTTGGCTTTGCCCTAGGCCTTTCTGTTTCATTCCAGCCCAAGATTCTCTTCCACATACTGGTGCCCTTCTCCTCTCCCCTCCCTTCTCCCTGCCCTAGTCCACTCATACCTGGGTCACCCACCTCTCCAATTGCCTTTATTATTATTTTTTAAAGGTGCATTGTCCTGTTTTCCCTTGTGGCCTGGGTTTATGCTGAGCCTACTATGTATGGAGAGGTTCTATCCCCCAACTACCCTCAGGCGTACCCCAATGAGGTCGAGAAGTCTTGGGACATAGAAGTCCCTGAAGGGTACGGGATCCACCTTTACTTCACCCACCTGGACATAGAGATGTCTGAGAACTGCTCCTATGACTCACTGCAGGTACATGTGAAGGGCACAAAAGGATGGGGCTGGGGAGGTGGGCTGAGAGGGTGAGCACTCAGTGAGCTGGGAAGTAAGGTGGGAAGTCGTCTATTTCTCTGCCCTCCATATCAAAGTATTACCCTTTCACAGGTTCTTTTGACTCTTCTCTTAGATAATGTCGGGAGGCCATGAAGAAGGGAAACTCTGTGGACGGAGGACCAGCAAGAATTCCAACTCCCCAGTGGTGAAAGAGTTCCACATCCCATACAATAAACTCCAGGTGATCTTCCGGTCGGACTTCTCCAACGAGGAGCGTTTCACTGGCTTTGCTGCGTACTATGTCGCCGAGGGTAAGGCTCACCTCTCTGTGTGCCTCATTGATCCAGCCATGAGACTGGAAGCAGGGCAAATATTGAGCAATGCAGGGAGTGAGGATTCCATTTGTAACTCTTATGAAGTATTGACTTGACTTGGATCACTCCATGAATTCCCTTTGTGAAAATCAAACGTGTAATCAAACGTTTATCTTGGTGGTGATGACGATAATGAAAAAAATAGATAAAAAACATCCCAGTAATTTATTGAGAACCACTATGAGCTGGGTATTGTGTTAAGAACTTTACTTATATTCATTAAATCTTTACCTAAACTACATAATTTGAAGAGCTTCACAAGTATCACTAGTGGTAAAGAACCCGCGTGCCAATGCAGGAGACACAGAGTCACGGGTTTGATCCCTGGTTCGAGAAGACCGCCTGGAGAAGGGAATGGCAACCCCCTCCAGTATTCTTGCCTGGAGAATGCTGTGGACAGAGGAGCCTGGTGGGCTACAGTCCATAAGGTTGCAAAGAGTTGGGCAGAAGTGACTTAGCACTCACTCAAATTATATTTATTTACTTATGGTTGCGCTTGGTTGCCATTGGTGCACACAGGCTTTCTCTCCTTGCTCTCTTGGGTGCTACTCTCTAGTCAGAGTGCATGGGCTTCTCTTGGCTGTGGCTTCGGCTTCTCTTGTTGCCAAGTATGGGCTCTAGGCCTTGTGGGCTTCAGCAGTTGTGGCATGTGATCCAGGAGTTATAGTGCAGGAGCTTAGTTGCCCTGAGGCACGTGGAACCTTCCAGCACTAGTGATTGAACCTGTGTCTCCAGCATTGTCAGGCAAATTCTTAATCACTGGCCCTCTAGGGAAGTCCTACCTCAATTCTGAAAGTAGGTGTTACTATCTCTACTTAAAGATAGGAAAAGTAAAGATTAAGAAGTTAAATTACTTGCCAAAGCTCACACAAGGAATGTGTGGTATTCAAACCCATTTAACACGCAGCAAACAAACTTTCGCATTCTATGTGCGTCTACACCTATCTTCAGGTTATCATGATGTTACAACATCTCATAAAGCCAAAGTCTTGTTTAGATTTGACAGAAGTGCCAGCATCATGTAAGGTAATACATGTACTAGTTGTTGCTCCCTGCAGAAGACATATCATGTTAAGCTTGCAGAGTGCTGTCCCTGGAGTGGAAATACTCTGTTTATGAAAAAGGTCAAGGGTCTTCAGTGTTGACACCTCCCACTATAGAGGCACCATCATAGAGCACAACTCTAGAATCATATTTCAGGAGAGTAACATAGAATAACTGGAGGAGGGGCATGGCAACCCACTCCAATATTCTTGCCTGGAGTATCCCATGGACAGAGGAGCCTGGCAGGTTACAGTCCACAGGGTCACAAAGAGTTGGACATGACTGAAGTGACTTAGTACAGTATAGAGTAATAGTATTCTGAAACGAGATTCATTGAATGTCTCTAAGCAACAGACCCTTCCTACTTTTCTTACACTTGCAGTTTTGGGCTTAACTTCATTTTTCCTTCTAGGTCTTTGTCCTTGACCGCTGTCTTTCTCTGCTCTTTGTAGATATAAACGAGTGCACAGCTTTTGCAGATGCTCCTTGCAGCCACTTCTGCAATAACTTCATTGGTGGTTACTTCTGCTCCTGCCCTCCGGAATACTTCCTCCATGAAGATAGGAAGAACTGTGGAGGTGAGCTTGGCATCAAGAGAGGTGAATGTTCCCTGGGATTTGGGTTGGCTGGAGGCTTCAGGAAGGTGTCTGTCTACCCTTTTCGATTTTGATTAGCCCTGGGCTTGACTTGGCATCAATTTTTAGTTACTCATAAACAGAAGGGGAGCCACAAGAGTGGAGGAAGGTAAGCCTACAGGGTCAAGTTAATTAATTGTTGAAGAGAGATAGGTGTCAACTTGGGCCTCTTCATAACCATGAAAAGCTCCACATAAGTGATGCGATGGGAACCCAATACATATTAGGTATCTCTGCTGTTATGCATTGGTGTGTAATTGTGGCACGTGGGCTTCAGCTCATGAGAAGGATCATAGAAAAGAGCTGGGACTCCTTGGCCTGGCCCTTTATTTGAGTCTCCTTTTCTTTTTTCTTCTTTAGTCAATTGCAGCGGGAATGTATTCACCACAATGACTGGGGAGGTTGTGAGTCCTAATTACCCCAGTCCATACCCAGAGAGCTCAAGGTGTGACTATCAGATCCAGTTGGAGGAGGGGTTCCGAGTGGTGGTGACCGTGCGGAGAGAAGACTTTGATGTGGAACCAGCTGACTCCGAGGGCCACTGTCCTGACAGTTTACTTGTGCGTGATGGATGATCAGTCTTCTTCCAACTCACTCAGAGAGTTCTCCTTGAAGACACATCATCTAGCTTTCTGTCCCTTCTTTTTTTCTTTCCCTCCTTCTTATTTTCTTTTATTTTTATCCCTTCTGTGTTACCTTTTTCTTTTAGTTCTTTCTCTCTTCTGATTTCCCCATTTTGATTCTCTTCAGTTTGTGACAGAAGACCAGCATTTTGGTCCTTACTGTGGGAATGGCTTTCCTGGGCCACTAACTATTGAAACCCAGAGCAGCGCTCTGAATATCATCTTCCAAACTGATGGATCAGAACAAAGAAAGGGATGGAAATTTCGTTACCATGGAGATCGTGAGTAACCTAGAAGCTGCCCTTTGGTTTGTGGGACCAGAGTCCTTACCCAAGGTAAAATTGAAACAGTAGATTGTTGTACTGATGGGTATCATGAGAACACAGCAGCTCCTCAGCACCATGTAAACCTGTCAGTTGTTGTGAGAAACCCACAATTTCTAGGAATCCTTCAACTGGATTTTCAAATGCAGATGGCCTGGGGGTGGTTAGTTAGTAACGTCATTATTCTATTTTATTTCATTTCATTTCACTGCCAGACTTGTGAGATCTTAGTTCCTTGACTAGGGATCAAACCTGTGCCCTCAGCAGTGAAAGCACCGAGTCCTAAGCACAGGATTGCCAGGGAATTCCCTGCCATATTATTTTAACCACCTCCATGTTGGAATGCTGGGTTTCAGGACTGAGGATGAGTCAACAACTGTAGAAAATATGTTGTTGTTTGGTTCGTAAGTTGTGTCTGACTCTTTTGTGACTCAATGGACTGCAGCCTGCCAGTCTTCTCTGTCCATGGGATTTCCCAGGCAAGAATACTGGAGTGGGTTGAAATTTCTTTCTCCAGGGGTTCTTCCCGACCCAAGGATCAAACATGCATCTCCTGCATTGGCAGGTGGATTCTTTACCACTGAACCACCAGGGAAACCCAACAAATGTGAGAATGATTATATACAATAATGATTCTCCAACGATTTGGTAAATTTCTTTTCCTATCCTTTTCAAGCAATCCCTTGTCCTAAAGAAGTCATTGCCAATTCCTTCCGGGAGCCTGAGAGAGCAAAATATGTGTTCAGAGATGTGGTGAAGATAACCTGTGTGGATGGGTTTGAAGTTGTGCAGGTAAAGCACTGTCAGGGGCTCCTCTCTAGTTCCTAGGTAAGGATGAGCATACTGGAATCGTCTGATCAGTTACCGAGTGTTCTCGTTTGAGTGAGGTCTAGGACCTTCTCCATCAAGAGAAGCCCTCAGGATCTCTACTTGTCTTCTTAGCCATAAAGATCCTTGGACATTTTCACATTCTCCTTTTGGCTTCAGGCTTCCTGGGGAAGGGGACTAGTACGCTGGGGCAAAGTTGTCTTTTAGCTCTAACTCCTGAATGCTTTGGGTCATTCTGCTAAGATGTCCCCAAGCTTCTTGTAGTAAAGACTTCTCATTGATCCAAGGCCAGAGATTAATTCCATTTTTGGCTTTTGATCCCCTGTATCTCTCTTTATAAACTAATATTGAGGTTTATTATTTTCCAGGGAAGTGTTGGTTCCCCATCTTTCTACTCTACTTGTCAAAGCAATGGAAAGTGGAGTAATTCCAAGTTGCGGTGTCAACGTATGCATCTCTTTAAAACGGGACTACTTTTGTCAAAAAGTGGGCAGTGGCCCAATTCTTGGAAATCCCCACTCATTACCCAAAATAGTTGGAATAATTCCACTCATTAGCCTATGAAATTACTCAGTCTTATGAAAACTCACAACCCTGGTGCCTCTCACCTTCTGAGATGGCCCACAGTCTGTCTGTGGACTGTGTATCTTCCTGAATAAATCTTCTTTCCCTTAAGAATAAAGGGGAATAATTTTCCCCCTCCCAAAGGAAGTGGGAAGATTAAGGCACAATTTCTGAGATACAAATGCATGGTTTCTTCTTAGGCTTGTGAGATAGTGAATTGGGTTTCAAAGGGAAGTCAGTTGTAGAATCCTAGTCCTGATCTGACCCTAGGCCAGCCAGACTAGCAGGTTTCTTACAAAGAAAGGGTCTATGAGATTAGTAAGTTAATAGCATTCTATGGGTCCATTTCTACAGAGGCCTCACCAATCACTGGGAATCAGGTTCATTCTTGCCACTTTTAAGGGGCCATCTGAAGTGGCAGGACTCAGTGGGCTGGGGAGATGAGCATGGCCACAAAGAGGCTGATGTGGGGGATTCACCCCAAATGTGCTTATGAATGGGGGGGCGGCAGGGAAGGAGTGAGGAACACAGCTGGGAAGATGGACTGGCCCAGGGACTCTTCCTGGGAAGAAGTGTCTATCCTGATCATCTCTCTCCTGCCTTCCTCCTGTAGCCGTGGACTGTGGCACTCCTGAACCCATTCAGCATGGTAGAGTCGAAGATCCGGAAAGTACTCTATTCGGTTCCATCACTCGCTACTCTTGTGAGGGGCCATATTACAGCATGGAACATGAAGGGAGTGGTAAGATTTCTTTGACTAAAGAAAAGAGAAAGAAAGAGTGAGAGTGTTGGAGGGTGAATAGTACAATCTTTCTGGGTTGGAGACAGTTTGGAGAGAACGAGGGAGATGGGCTGGGCTTTGTTCATCCTCTTTGTTTAGTCTAAAGATACAGTTTTCACACAGGATGGGGTTGGGGCATGGGTTGTATAGGATCACCTGTAGAGTATCATAGAGATCACCTAGTTCAGCTTCAGGAACTCCCCCTAAAATATCCGTTTTCATGTGGTCATCCAGCTTTTGACCACCTATGTAATGTAGAACCCACAGGAGTAATGCTTCCAGCTTCAAGTCTCTATTCTATGATGACTTTTTTTTTCTCACACCATGTTGCATACAGGATCTTAGTTCCCAATCAGGGTTCAAACCAGTGGCCCCTGCATTGAGAGCACAGAGTCTTAACTGCTGGACCACCAGGGAAGTCCCACAACTGACTTTCTTGATGGAAAGGCCTTGGTGGTGCTGGATGAAGGACTGGATGGCTCATGATATGTCCCAGTTCATTGCTTTCAATTTAATTTCCTACTTGAAGCACTTTCCCAGCCTCCACCTTAATCCTCTTCCTTCTGCTTTGGAGAATGTTCCTTCTAATCCCTGGGCAAGGGGATTGTCTGGGGCCAAAGGGATTGTTTGGAGGATGTTCTCAAGATTATTTTATGGTAGGTTTGGTCCCATTGCCTCCTAAAATCCCAGAGGCGCTGAGGCTCTGAATGGAAGGCAGAAGATAAGTGAGAAGATGTGATGCTGAGTGTGTTCCTTCTCTCTGTGCTGTTTCAGAGGTGTATCACTGCAGCGGCAATGGGAGCTGGGTGAACGAGGTGCTGGGCACAGAGCTGCCAAAATGCATTGCAGGTAATCAGGGCTCAGACTTGGGTAGAGAGCGTGTCCTCAGGTGTGTGTGCATTGGACTCACCTTCTAAAAGGAGTTGTAATCCTCTTGGGAAGGGAATTGATGGTCTGGGCCTGCCAGAACCTAGCTCAGTGAGGTGGAGAAAAATCTGGGCATGGATCTGCCAGGGCCTTTATCAACTGCACTGCCACGGTGACTGACCCTAAAGAGAAAAGTCAGCCAGTGACAGTTGGTGTCAGAGTCTGGGATGGTTAGATTTGGTAATGTTGGTGCAGGAAGGGGATCTAGGATTGCTAAAAACAGGGTGTGAAAATTGAGAGTGAGCAATCAACACTTAGAAACAAGATTAGTTGAATATCCTAGTTATTATATTAAAAACCTATCTGGCAACAAGATACAGAAGAATGAAAGGAATAAGGGGTTGTATAGAGATTAGACGGCTTCTCCTGGTGGCATAGATGGTAAAGAATCTATCTGCGACTTGGGTTCAATCCCTAGGTTGGGAAGATCCCCTTGAGTAGGAAAACGCAACCCACTTCAGTATTCTTTCCTGAAGTATTCCATGGACCGAGGAGCCTGGTGAGCTAGTCCATGGAGTCAGAAAGAGTCTGACATGACTGAACAACTAACACTCAGACCATCATTATAGAGATTAGAGTTGAGTAGAAGAAGACTCCCAGACAGAGCCAGGAATATGATAATGATGCTCATAGTAACAACACTGTAATTGAGAGCTAGGGACTCAGCTAACTAATTGAATTTATTATCTCATTCAATCAAGTCTTTGCAATAACCCTCTGGGTGAGGTGTTATTGGTCCTGCTTTACAGTTGAGTGAATTCATTGCGAGTTCACAGTTTAGGAAGTGATGGGATAGGCTTTGAACCCACATCTGTCTGTTATGCTCAACTCAGAGTCCATTTGGGCTGACTAGTGTAGGATTTAGGTAAGCCAACTTGATCTGAAATACAATTCAGTTTTAGTTGCATTGGGTAATGGCAAAGCAACCTTATCTGGGTCATTGGAGGATGAGATGAAAGATGGGAAAAGAGAACCCTCTTTTTGCCCTACGTCCAGTTACTAGGAGGGGCTTGGCTGCAGTTAGGACTTGAGTGAAGAAGGTGGTAAGTGGACCTGGCCATCAGAGGCAAATTCCCACTACATGTGTGAGAATAGAGTCTCCCAGCTCGGGCTCCTAGTTGGGTCCGTGACCTGATGTGTTGAGCCTGGGGTGACATGTGTCTCCTGTAGGACTATGAGTTAAGCTGTCCATAGTGTGAGGCTCATTTAGGTTCAGTACTTTATACACAGGCTCAGTTTAACCAGTCTCCCCTACAAGCCTGCTCTTGGCACTGGCGATGTGGGATATTTGATCCTTAGGTGAGTTCAGATAAGTCAGGCACTGAGATGGTTGACCAAATACAGTAAGTCCCCTACATATGAATGAGTTCTGTTCCAAGAGCATGTTCATAAGTCCAACAACATGAGCTTAGGTACCCAACTAACACAACTGCACTGTACTGTAACACCTTATAGTATAATAATGGCTTATAATGCTTTTCACACAAAAGGTTTATAATACTTTCACACAAATAATACATACAAAATACAAAACAATACAAAAAAATAAAGAAAACACTTTTTTAAAAAGATCTTTATTTACTTATTTGACTTTGCTGTGTCTTAGTTGCAGCATGTGGGATCTAGTTCTCCAGTCAGGGATGGAACCCAGGCTCCTTGGTTTGAGTGCACAGAGTCTTAGCCCATGGGCCACCTGAGAAATCCCAAGAAAACACTTTTAATCTTACAGTAGGGACCTTGAAAAGTACAGTAGTATCATTCAACAGCTGGAGCTTCTTAGCAGTACCAGCCATATCACTGCTGTTTTTACAGTGGTTTCCAGACATCCTGGGCTTGAAGTAGATTCTATACTACTGTACTTTACACCACTGTAAGTTCACAAAAGCACAGCCACTTGTAGAGGATGTGTGTGCAGGACAATGTACCCCAGACACCTGAACTTACTTACATGATTGGATGTGCAAGCGCATGTTCACATCTTTGAAAGTTTACAGCTTGAAGGTTGGTGTAGGGGATTTCCTGTATAAGGCTGGCTGTGTTGTGCTGAGAACAATGAAGCCCAGCAGGTGTTTGAGTAGCTGGAGGATTGCTGGGGGCCAGCGACTACCCACCTTGTTCTTTTTCCTTTCTAGTCTGTGGCACCCCCAGCGAGCCTTTTATATCAACACAAAGAATATTTGGAGGCTCCATGGCAAAGATTGAAAATTTCCCCTGGCAAGTCTTCTTCTCGAACCCATGGGCTGGTGGGGCTCTCATTGATGAATACTGGGTGCTGACAGCTGCCCATGTCATGGAGGGAAATGATATGCCAGTGATGTATGTTGGATCCTCCTCAGTGGTCACCTCACAATTGTCAAATGCTCAGATGCTCACTGCCGAGAGAGTGTTTATCCATCCAGAATGGGAGGTCCTGGATCCTTCGATAGTACGGAAGAATTTTGACAATGACATTGCGCTGGTGCGGCTGAGAGACCCAGTGAAAATGGGACCCAAGGTCTCCCCTATCTGCCTACCAGGCACCTCCTCAGAATATGACCCCCCAGAGAACGTCCTGGGGCTGATCTCAGGCTGGGGTCGAACAAATGCCAAAAGTCATGTTATTAGGCTCAGAGGGGCAAAGCTACCCGTTGCTCCCTTATCCAAATGCCGGGAGGTGAAGGGGGTCAACCCTGGAATAGATATCAGTTCTTTTGTTTTCACTGAGAACATGATCTGTGCCGGTAATGACAAGGGTGTTGATAGCTGTGAGGGGGACAGTGGTGGGGCCTTTGCCGTACAGGACCCTAAGGAAAACAACCCCAAGTTCTATGTTGCTGGTTTGGTGTCCTGGGGCCCCCAGTGTGGGACCTACGGGATCTACACTCGAGTCAAGAACTACGTTGACTGGATAAGGAAGACAATGCAGGAAAATAGTGCCCCCAGTGTAGACTAACCATACAGGTTCTACCAGCCTCTCTAAGGGCCGTGACCCCTCTGGACTTACTGTTCCTCACAATAATCCCATTATTTCATCATGACTGAGAGAGGACATGGGAGTAAGATTGAGCTGTTGATAGAACTTGTTTGTTGGGATACCTGATTGGAGGTAGGGTTCTGCTCCTGTGGTTGTGTTGGTCTTGGATGACCCACTCCTGTTCCAGTTCTGACTCTGAAATTTGTTGTGGGGCATTCTCTTGATTTTTTTGTTTCCCCTTTACCTGTTTGAAGTTGACTGTATCATTTCTGCTATCTACTTGTAATAAAGCATGTTTATAACCCAGTGCTGGCTGACTTGCCTCATTCCACATCAAGACCTCAGCACCACAGAAAGGGAGTTTAATGTGCTGTTGTGTCCTCGAAACTCAAGGCCCTCACAGCTCATATTTAAATATCATGAAAACAGGGAATCAGCTTCTCTCCTCTCTTCCAATGGAGAGTAACTGAGCATTGTGGATTAGCATGACATCAATGCGAGGTGCCATGTTCTGCTTTCGAAACTCATCAAACATACCTGAACCTCAGTCAGAAATCCACATACAGCAGTTAGAATTGGCTGTTTAAGATCTTAGAGTCTGAAATTTCAAGGTAAAAATTGCTTCAGTATGTCTCCTGAAAGTGAGTTTTCCTTTTATGAGCATTTGTTTAATACAAAATTATGACCCAAGAAAAACAAAAGAAATTCCACATGCTCTCATCTGCTTCCCTGGTGGTTTTGGTTAATTTGTCAGTCAGGCAACAATGTCTTCTCTGGATTGAATGCTGCACTGAAATATCACAGTTTATTCTGGTGAGGAGGGACCCAAAGTCTCCCTTCTACTCTTTTCCAAGGAAACAAAAAAACAAGCAAGCAAGCAAAGAACTCCTCATTTCCACAAAATGATCAGTGGTGAAGAAGGACTGGACAATAGAGACTAGTATTTTCTTTTAATTGAAGTACAGTTGATTTACAACATTGTGAATATATATAAATAAATAAATAAATAAATATATATATATATATATATACACTTCCCCAGTGGTTCAGCAATAAGGAATTTGCCTGCAATGCAGGAGCTGCAGAAGATGTGGGTTCCATCCCTGGGTCAGGAAGATCCCCTGGAGGAGGGCAGGGCAACCCACTCCAGTATTCTTGCCTGCAGAATCCCAAGGACAGAGGAGCCTGGCAGGCTACAGTCCATGGGATCACTAAGAGTCAGACACTATTGAAGGGACTGAGCACTTACACATATATCAGTTCAGTTCAGTTCAATCGCTCAGTGGTGTCCGACTCATTGTGACCCCATGGACTGCAGCACGCCAGGCTTCCCTGTCCATCACCAACTCCTGGAGCTTGCTCAAACTCATGCCCATCGAGTTGGTGATGCCAACGAATGATCTTATCCTCTGTCATCCCCTTTTCCTCCCACCTTCAATCTTTCCCAGCATCAGAATCTTTTCCAATGAGTCAGTTCTTCACATCAGGTGGCCAAAGTATTGGAGTTTCAGCTTCAGCATCAGTCCTTCCAATGAATATTCAGGATTGATTCCCTTTAAGATGGACTGGTTGGATCTGTTTGTAGTCCAAGGGACTCTCAAGAGTCTTCTCTAACATCACAGTTCAAAAGCATCAATTCTTCACCACTCAGCTTTCTTTATAATCCAACTCTCACATCCAACAGTTAGAACCTGACATGTAACAACAGATTGGTTCCAAATAGGAAAAGGAGTACGTCAAGGCTATATGTCACCCTGCTTATTTAACTTATATGCAGAGTACATCATGATAAACACTGGGCTGGATGAGGCACAAGCTGGAATCAAGATTGCCGGGAGAAATATCAATCACCTCAGATATGCAGATGATACCACCCTTAAGGCAGAATGCAAAGAAGAATTAAAGAGCCTCTTGATGAAGGTGAAAGAGGAGAGTGAAAAATTTGGCTTAAAACTCAACATTCAGAAAACCAAGGTCATGGCATCCAGTCTCATTACTTCATGGCAAATAGATGGGGAAACAGTGGAAACAGTGGCAGACTTTATTTTTTTGGGCTCCAAAATCACTGCAGATGGTAACTGCAGCCATAAAATTAAAAGATGCTTGCTCCTTGGAAGAAAAGCTACAACAAACCTAGACAGCATATTAAAAAACAGAGACATTACTTTGCCAACAAAGGTCCGTCTAGTCAAGGCTACGGTTTTTCCAGGAGTTATGTGTGGATGTGAGAGCTGGACTATAAAGAAAGCTGAGCGCCGAAGAATTGATGCTTTTGAACTGTGGTGTTGGAGAAGACTCTTGAGAGTCCCTTGGACTGCAAGGAGATCCAACCAGTCCATCCTAAAGGAAATCAGTCCTGAATATTCATTGGAAGGACTGATGCTGAAGCTGAAACTTCAGTACTTTGGCAACCTGATTTGAAGAGCTGACTCATTTGAAAAGACCCTGAATCTGGGAAAGACTGAGGTGGGAGGAGAAGGGGACCACAGAGGATGAGATGGTTGGATGGTCTCACCAACTCAATGGACATGAATTTGAGTAAACTCTGGTAGTTGGTGATGGACAGGGAGGCCTGGCATGCTGCAGACCATGGGGTCACAAAGAGTCGGACAGCACTGAGCGACTGAACTGAACTGAACTCATATCTATATACGACTACTGGAAACACCATAGCTCTGACTAGATGGACCTTTGTTGGCAAAGTAGTGTCTCTGCTTTTTAATATGCTGTCTCAGTTGGTCATAACTTTTCTTCCAAGGAGCAAGTGTCTTTTAATTTCATGGCTGCAGTCACCATCTGCTGTGATTTTGGAGCCCCGCAAAATAAAGTCTGTCACTGTTTCCATTGTTTCCCCATCTATTTGCCATGAAGTGATGGGACCAGATGCCATGATCTTAATTTTCTGAATGTTGAGTTTTAAGCCAACTTTTTCACAATACTTTTTTCCATTATGGTTTATTATAGGATATTGAATATAGTTCTCTGTGCTATATTGAGGAACCTTGTTTTTTATATCTACCCTATATATAATAGTTTGGAATCTGCTAATCCCAAACTCCTCATTTATCCCTCCCACCCCTTCCCCTTTCAGTAACCATAAGCTTTTCTACCCAGAGATTAGTACTTTTTAAACTGAGGACAGGAGAGCTATCTTGGGGTGGCCATTGCCCCAGATGGGGTGTCTTATGAAAGCCATGGCCTGAGATTAGGAGTTCAGGGGGACTCTGGTCTGTTTGATGTGACATGTGGTTTTCAGGAATCCAGTTTTTTTTTTTTTTTTTTAATCAGAAGCCAAAAGGGGTGTATATGTGTCCCATCAAGAAAGGACTTTGATCTCCCACAGACCAAAAGGGCCAAATTCCACAGCTGACCTTAGACTGTATTAACACATAATGAAGTAACCAGAACACTAATTGAAAGGTCTGAAGAACCAAAGGGGAGTTACAATAGGAAGCTTCTGGAAGGAACTTGTCCAATTAAGCAAGGAGCATAAAGCCATTTATGTTACTCCTTAACTGCATACCTGCCAACTACCTTTCCCCCCTCCACCACCAGTCACTCCATGTGCCATGGAGTTGACTGTGAACCCTGGACTACAGTGCTTTGGACAGGAGAAGGGAGAATCTTCTAGGAAAAAAAAAAAGAATCGTGAAAATGTTAAGATTAAGAAATATGCTTGTAATGTAGACATTTTCCTTCTTTTTAATAACTGGAGGAATAGAAAAAAAATTAACCTGGAATCTGACAAATAACAGAGGAAAGAAGTCTATCTCTACCAGCGAGAGTCTTCAGTCTATCTGGGTTCTGCCGTCACTGATTGGCCGAGATATTGGTGACGATTTGCTTGTTGCTGCTGCCTCAGACAACAAGATGGGTTGTTTTTCTCATCATTAGCTGTATTATCAGATAATTCCCTGGTGAATGGCAGGGGAGGGTTCTAAGTGAGTCATCATCAGAGACTTTAGAGCTGGGAAGGGCTCCTTGCCAAGGCCTAGAAAGGCTAGAAAATTTTTCGTTGTGGTTTGAAGCAATCATACAGCCTTGCAAGTCACTTGGGAACAACATGTGTGCTTCATATGAAACTCAAGAAAAGACAGCTTTTCAAAAAGCAGGTGAACTGTCACATTTCTTTGGTCAGAAGAAAAGAAAAAGGACTGCTGGGTCAGCAACTCACGCCTGGGAAAAAAGATGGTGACCAGAGGCCAAGAGGACTCTCTGGGAAAGACCCTGGTTGAAATTGGACCAGAAGGAGCTGGTGGGATTTTGGTATTCTATAAGTTGCTTTTACTTTGATTTCTATCAGAAAAATATCCTGTAAAAATGTGACTTTTTAACTTTCTGAATATGCATTCTTTTTTTTTTAGATTTAAAAATATGAGAAAAATTCTTTTCAGCTATTTTCAGGTGTAACTCACAAATAAATTGTAAGATAATTAAAGTGTACAATGTGATGATTTGACCTGCGTATATATTGTGAAAAGATATCTTCTACCCAGTTAATTCACACACCTCTCACCTCACGTGTGTATATGTGTTACTTGCTCAGTTGTGCCTATTTCTTTGTGACCTCATGGACTGTAGCCCGCCAGGCCCCTCTGTCCATGGCATTCTCCAGGCAAGAATACTGGAGTGGGTTGCCATTCCCCTCTCCAGGGGATCTTCCTGACCCAGGGATCAAACCTGCATCTCTTGCATCTCCTGCATTGGTGTGTTCTTTACTGTCCAAGCTACCAGGGAAGCCCTCAACTCACATGTTTATCCTTAATTTTTTTTTTTTTTGGTGGGAACATTGAAATTCTACTCTCTTGGCCAATTTCAGTGATACAATATATTGTTATCAATTATAGTTACGATGTTACATATTAGATCCTCAGACCTTATTTATCTTGTAACTATAATTTATACCCTTGTATCGATCACTCTCTATTTCCCCTATGCCTCAACCCAGGGTGACAACTTTTTTACTTTCTCTTCCTATG